AAAAAAAAACAAAAAACAAAAAACAAAGTGCTGGGATTACAGATGTGAGGCACCATCCCCAGCCTGTATTTATCTTCTTCAAAAATAAGAGTATCATATCAGTGCTTAAAAAAAAAGGTAAAAGAGTGAAAGGGAAAATCGAGACTCTTTTTTCAGAGAAGTGTTCTGATTATTTCTTCTAAGAAAACCAACTGGAATAAAGGATGGCTCTGTCTTACAGCCATCTAAACCATGACCTCCCTTAACATACACGTAGATAACGTATGCCTTAACCAACTTGCAAGACAAGCAAAATTCTAGATGTAGAAATATATTTTCTCAAATTATTCTTTTTTCATAACTGGGTTCAGTCCCAGGCTGCTGATATCAATAATCCGTTCTAGAACCAGGCTGGAGGGCTTGCATTCCTCTGGAAGAGCATGAAGCAAATGAAGAACCGTAACTGCTCCTCTTGAGAACTAAAGAATTCTTTAAAGTTTGAATGTTTGGGGAACACAGACCAAGGCTGTGACCTAATTTTCCATTTCTGAAAGTCACACTTGAAGTTAAAAATTTCTGTTCTGCAAATTTCCATATATCAAAAGAAAATATAGAATTTATAGTATCTTCTCAAAAGGAAAAGAAAAAAACAATTCAAAGGAGGACTTTTCTTTTTTCTTTTCTTGTGTCTTAAATGTCAATGATCACAAAAACTTCTGGCTTCTCTTCATTATAGACCTGCATTGCTGAATATGTTATTGCTTTGACTTCTGTTCCCTAATGTTGGGGATAGAGAAAAAGCAAATAGGGAAAAAAAAAGACATTGAAATTAGAATCATTAACTCTGGCAACAACTGGCTGACCATCAAAATTTTAAAATATACGTATTATTCCAAAAAACTCAAAACTCACATGAAGCAGTTATCAAATTAATACAGTATCACACACTGATCCAATAGAAATGGGAAGCAATATGTACCCAGTGGAGTTAGAAGTTGGAATTCTTGTTTTTCTTCACGGTTTTTGGCCAGGGCCAGGTTTTAAACCTGCCACATCCAGTATATGGGGCCAGTGCCCTACTCCTTGAGCCACAGGCGCCACCTAGAAGTTATCTGACGTGCCTGATTACCAGATTTTTCATTTATGTAACTGGAAGAATCCATGAACACTAGTTTTTCTAGCATATGGCTCAGGGTTCCTTCTCAAGCCCCAAACCACTTCCTTATACTGACCTAGGCCCTCAACCCATTCTCCTCAGCTGCAATACTCACTTCACCTCTTGGGATTCTTCCCTTTCCAAGTCTAGCTGAAGAGATATAGTTGCCCAGGTCAAAAGCTCTCCACACAATTCTGATACATGATACTCTATCCAACCCTGCCCTAGTTTAAAACCACAGGATTAGATGTTCTCATAGGTTCCTTCCAGCTCTAAAAAGAACCTACAATAATTCTGTGTACCACAAAATCTATCAGGCAATTGGTGAATGGCATTTGCTAGCTCCACAGCACAAAAGAAATCTGAAGATTTCACAGAAAGATTGAGTGGCAGCCCCTTTGCTTTTTCCCTTCTACCATAATCACCCAGCAAAAGCACAACCTAAATCAAATTTCATACCACACTAATTGATATCAACTTTAATGTATATCCACAGATCTAAACAGGCATTCAGCAGTGACCGTAATCCTGTATTTACCACTGAATTCCACTTCTCACTCTCTGAGAAAATTATTTCACATCTTCTCCTCTAGCGTCCCTCCCTCATTCTCACTCTCAGCCAACTGTGTTTCCTGAAGGAAATTATAATCAATAGAAATGGACTCATCTTTCCACCATCAAATCTACCATGAGCCTCTCCTCCAGTTATAATCAATGGCCTGTCCCTATCCTATGAGAAAGCCAATTTCTCCAGTTCAGCACTAGCTCCAACACCCCACTACCAACATTTACTGGAGAGGCTGTGGCCCTGACTACCTGCACAGCTTTGCTTCCTACTATTCTCCCTTCTGTCTCAGCTCCAGTTTGCAGTTCCTTCAACATAACCTACTTCACTTCAGGCCTTCACACCTCTTTCTTCTCCCTTATTTCTGCTTACTGCTCATTTCTTTGGCCTATGCTCAAATATTACCTCCTGAAATGTGCCTTTTCATTTTTTTGTTTTTTTGAGACAAAGCCTCAAGCTGTTGCCCTGGGTAGAGTGCTGTGGCATCACAGCTCACAACAATCTCCAACTCCTGGGCTTAAGCTATTCTCTTGCCTCAGCCTCCCAAGTAGCTGGAACCATAGGCGCCCGCCACAACAACCAGCTATTTTATTTATTGTAGCTCTCATTGTTTGGCAGGCCCAGGCTGGATTTGAACCTTCCAACTCCAGTGTATGTAGCTGGCGCCTTAGCCGCTTGAGGTACAGGTGCCGAGCCAAATATGCCCTTTATAACCACCCCTTCTCCCCCCATTATTTTTGGTTGCAGCCATCATTGTTGTTTGGCGGGCCTGGGCTGGATTCGAACCCACCACCTTAGGTGTAGGTGGCTGGCACTTTAGCCACTTGAGCCACAGGCGCTGAGCTAAGATAGAAGTTATTTAAGCAAATATCTAATCCAACAGCTTCATTATGGAAGAAGAAACCAAAACTCAAAAAGGCAAAGGAACTTTCATGTCCCACAACAATCTCAACAAACTGACCCTGAACCCAACACTGACTGCTGATCCACCAAGGATTGTGTGAAATCCTTTTTTTTAGAGACAAGAGTCTCACTTTGTCACTGTTGGTAGAGAACCGTGGTGTCTTAGCTCACAGTAACCTCAAACTCACAGGTTCAAGTGATCCTCTTGATTCAGCCTCCCAAGTAGCTGGGACTACAGGCACCTGCCATAACACCCAGCTATTTTTTTTTTTAGAGACAGGATCTCACTCTTGCTCAGGTTGGTCTTGAACTTGTGAGCTCAGGCAATCCACCTGCCTCAGCCTCCCAGGGTATTAGGATTATTAGAACTGGTTGAAGTTTATTGTCACATATGTGAACTTTAGGGTAACTAAGTAATGTTTTCAATGGCTGAATTTTAAAACATACCTGAGGGTGCTTAGACAATGAAAATTCTTCTCCCCACCTTAAGAAAGAAAATTAAAACATGATTAAGATTTAACACTTGTTCTCTATATATTTTTACATAAGCCTTATAAATGTGGTTAAGGTACTAGAAAGCCAAAAGAGCTAGAAGGGATAGGGGAGCTTTAAGTTTCATTTTCTTTTTTTTTTTAAAACAGAATCTCCAGCTGTCGCCCTGGGTAGAGTACCGTGGCATCATAGCTCACAACAACCTCAAAATCATGGGTTCAAGTGATTCTCTTGCCTCAGCCTCCCAAGTAGGTGGGACTACAGGCACCCACCACAACACCCAGCTATTTTTTGATTGCAGTTGTCACTGCTGCTCAACAGACCCGTGCTGGGTTTGAACTTGCCACCCTAGGTATATGTGTCTGGCACCCTTGCCGACTGAGCTACAGGAGCTGCCACTCTAAGTTTCATTTTCATATCAGGAGATATAGCTTTGGGGGGACTTGTATTCAATAGCCATTGGCTGCTCTCAAAGTTGACAGCTCCTCTCACAATAAAAGTGCCCCAATTAATTCAGTGTGCCAGGCAGGATTCTCAATAAACATGATCTAAACTTGATTTATATTTTACAACTTTTCCAAAAATGCCCATGATTTGTATAAAGAAGGCTGCTAGAACCTGGGCAAGTCTCCTCTCTCCTTTGAAACTGATGTGGCTAAAGATCACAACATAGCATAGTACAAAGAACAAAGTTTTAAAATTCTATTCAATCACTTATTGGCTGATTTGTGTGTGTTTCCTTAACCTTGAAAAGAAGGGGGAGAGATAGTAAGAGACTCACTTTACAAAGAGAAACTAATGAAATTCAATGAAATTCAATATAAAATGGGGCCAAGCATAGGAGTGCGTGCCTATAGTCCCAGCTACTTGGAGGCTAAGGCAAAAAGATCACTTGATCAAGCCTGTGAATAGCCACTGCACTGTAGCCTGGGTAACATAGCAAGACTCCATCTCTGTCTCTAAATAAAAAAAAAAAGTCTCACTTTGTCACCCTTGGTAGAGTGCTGTGGCGTCACAGCTCACAGCAACACCCAGCTCTTAGACTTAGGCAATTCTCTGGCCTCAGCCTCCCAAGTAGCTAGAACCACAGGCACCCACCACAACGCCTGGCTATTTTTTGTTGCAGTTTGGCCGGCGCTGGGTTTGAACCCGCCACTCTCCATATATGGGGCGCCCTACTCACTGAGCCATAGGTGCCACCCACAAGACCCTATCTCTTAATAAAAAACAAAGTAAAATAAAATAAAATGGAAAAGATAACCTATATATAGAAATAACCTAAAAGATACAATTAAGTGACTGAAGAAATCTGGGAAACAAGTCCAATCAGAATGACCTAATCAAGTGTTTGTAAACTCTGGAAGGAAAATATATATGTATAATTTTTTTTGTTTTTGTTTTTTGAGACAGAGCCTCAAGCTGTCACCCTGGGTAGAGTGCCGTGGCTTCACAGCTCACAGCAACCTCTAACTCCTGGGCTCAAGCGAGTCTCCTGCCTCCGCCTCCCAAGTAGCTGGGACCACAGGTGCCCGCCACAATGCCTGGCTATTTTTTGGTTGCAGCCATCATTGTTGTTTGGCAGGTCCAGGCTGGATTCGAACCCAGCCACCTTAGGTGTATGTGGCTGGCGCCTTAGCCACTTGAGCCACAGGCGCCGAGCCGTATAATTTGTCAATAGAAGGAACAGAAGGAATCTTTTGGCTAAGATTAAGTGTAATAGAAGGAATTGGTTTACTATAATCCTAGCACCTTGGGAGGCTGAGGCAGGCAGAATGCTTGAGGTTAGGAGTTAGAAACCAGCCTGAGCAAGAGCAAGACCCCCATCTCTACTAAAAATAGGAAAACTGAGGCAAGAAGATTGCTTGAGCCCAAGAGTTTGAGGTTGCTGTGAGCCATGATGATGCCATGGCACACTACCCAGGGAAACAGAGTGAGGAGATGACCTAATACACACCCACATAAGAGAAAAACTCAATTCAATTCAAGGTGAGGAGAAGGGGAATGAGGGAGGGGAAACTGAGGGGGACTGGTATGCTCCCACTTAATGGATACAACTACCAGAGGAACGTTATCTAACAAATGCAACCTTGTAACCTAGTTGTTTGTATCCTCAGATTAAACTGAAATAAAAAAAACAATCACTTCTCAGCCTTTTGGCTAAGATCAAGTGTAAAAACAAAAAAGAAGGAACCAGTTTAAACATGTCTAAAAGTATGGATATATGAAAAAGGATCTATCAAGTGTTTTTCATCCGCCACGCTGGGCTTTATTAAATTCTGTGCCATTTAGCAATTATACTTTGAGATTTTAAATACATAACGTGTATATAAATATATATTTTTTATATATATATTCCTAAAACTCAACGAACTGGCTCAGCACCTGTGGCTCAGGTGGCTCAGGCACCAGCCACATACACCTGAGGTGGCGGGTTCAAATCCAGCCTGGGCCCGCCAAACAACAATGATGGCTGCAACCAAAAAATAGCCAGGCATTGTGGCAGGCGCCTATGGTCCCAGGTACTTGGGAGGCTGAGGCAGGAGACTCGCTTGAGCCCAGGAGTTGGAGGTTGCTGTGAGCTGTGATGCCACAGCACTCTAC